ATAATAAAGGATTCAAAAGTTATCAAACGCAAAAAAAAAAAAAGAGTCAGAGACGCAAATTTAGTCCGAAAATCCAATATTACATCATTCCAAAACAGGTAAAGATACAATGGAGCTGAAATCATGCGATAAAGTCACTCTTTTAAATAAAAAGAGAGCGGAAAAGACCAAACTTTATTTTTTTTTCTTTTTTTTTCTGTATTTTACATTATGGAGTCACCATCTAAACGTAAAGGATCCGTTACTTTTGATTTACCGCCACCACAGGAAGAGGAAGAGTTATTATCTCCTTGCACACATACAATCGATATACACGCTCAGTCCGTGCCAGATACGATGCTCGTCGCCTTGTTTGATCGCGATCGAGAAATAAAAGAATTAGTTGAACACAACAAGTCGTTCTTTCTATCGCTTAAATCCTTTCTGAATGATAAATGGCCTCGATTTGAAAATACCTTGTACGTACCAAGATCTCAGATGTCAGATATTGAGTGGATTACACGTATTTCAAAGGCATTAAAGCCCGTTCCTCCGCTTTTAGAAAAATTTAAAGAGCTAGTGGGCTATTTGGGTGAAGATGATAGTCAAGGTAAATACGAAGAAGAAGAAGAAGAAGGTCAGCCAAAGGTTGAATTGGCGCGTATAAGAGACAGACTCGACCGTCTCTCACGGGAAGCATATCCACAGTTTTATATTAATTGCGAGCAAGCAATGTCCAAAAATGAATATGACGCATTTATACATACTTTATTTCATACAGCAGAAATAGATGACGCTACGTGGGAGAAAAAGATACGTGAACAGTTAAAGCCATGGCAAAATATACTTGAACAATTAGAGGAAATTGTTGCTTATGAAATAGACGAGTAATAAACAATTTCTTGCTCAATTATCTCGCATGAACTGCCGCAATTGAGCTTCTTATCCCCTAACCAATTCCAATATTCGTTCTCTAATAATTGATAGTCAACGCTATTAAGTATGCGGAAAATCGAGAGGAGCTCGTATCGGAGTGTGCCCACTCGTTCTCTTGCATAACTTAATTCAAGCGCCATCAGTTGATGTCGTCGGCTAGACCACGCATGTCTCCAATCAACCAAGTTTATACGGTCTTGCTGAAACATCTCGTAGGTTGTTGGATTGACACGATGAAGTGCAATTTGAGATTCTGTTATGTTCTGGAGGTCTCGTAAGTAAACTCCCTTCCAGTTCACTGGATGGTCTACAAGTGCTTCGTACTTGCGCTGCATACGGAACTGATATATTGTCAAAAAGAAACACAAGAAGATAAAGCACAGGTTGAGTACAGTCATCTTGTCCCACAAGGCACCTCTTTCTGTTCTCACAGGTGCTTTTTCTATTCTTTCCGTCATTGGTTTTTCTTCTATTTGTCCGTTGACATTCTCGACGATTCCTGGGCCTTGTTGCTTTTGTTGTTGCTGTTGTTGCTGTAGGATGGGTATTAATGTGTTAACAGTCTCAGCCATACCTTTCATGGCTGCGCTTTTGATCATGCTCTTGACCAAGACACTCTTTAGCCATTTGATACCCAAGGAACATGTGACCTTTGAACGATTGGGGGCCACGTAGGTGATGCAATATTTTATAGAGGGTAAAAACGTATCTGCATAAGGTAGATTAGGTGTCTTGGTAGACACAAGCACAATATAGGTCCTATGATGACAATGAAGTCAGATATGCAGGTTTACTCCCCTTCAATGAGCTTATTGGTGTAAATGGGTGTACTTACAACCTGTCTTGTTCCTGTAATATCTGCTGCGTTCCTATCACCTGAGTTTCTTTTGCTCTCACTAAATATGTATGATCAGTAAAAATGAGGCTTTTCCTTCAAACTAGCCATGTATTTACCCATGGGGTTAGAGACCGGCATCATATAAGTCAGCGTGCGTTCTCTGATCACACCTTCTTCTTGGCTATTTGCCCATTCTGTGAACGTTGGCTCACCAAATCCGGCGACCTTATTCAGTTGGGACCAAACGACTGTGTCTGAAAATAAGAGCATAAACAATCGTTTGGCACCCAAGTCTAGCACGACTTCTGCTTCTACTTTATCAAGATGATCCTTGCATCCACACTCTATTTGATTATCAGGTCGTGGTATACTATCTGGCCAGTTTGAATCATCATCTTCATGAACATTATTGGTCCCATTTGTCGTTGTTGTTGTTGCTGTTGTTGTCGTTGTGGCTACATTTGTTATACTCGACGTTTGCTGTTGTTGATACTGATTGCTGCTCTGATATGCCGCTTTCAAAGCGTCATGAGCAGCTGATGGTCCCGATTCGGTGTCGCCTTCATCGTTATCCAGGCTATTGGACGTAGACGTAGAACTGCTTGATTTCATTACAGGTGGCTGCTGTATCTGAACTGTTAAGGGAGTAACAGAAGGAAAGAGGGCGCTGGTAGTTGTTACATGATTGCTGATTTTAGTTGTGGATATATTTCGAATGGTATCATAGAGTGTTTGGATATCTTGTATCTTTTGTGATGCTGTTATCTTGAGTCTTTCAACAATGGTTTCAGAAGGTGTGCAGCTCCAAAGACTAAATAGTATATCATCTAGTATGAGCCATGTGCCATTTACTGTTTTCTCAATTTTAATAGATCCAATCTTTTCTAATGGTATCATGCACTACAACCACAATAAGTGCGAGTTGATGAAAGGTATGTAATAATTTTACTTACCAAATGAAGGCTAGTCATCAATGTACAGCTATAAAACCAGATAGCTTTTTGTGTCAGATAGACAATGCCACTGTATCCATACTGTGCCTCATCACCTTTTTGCCCATAATATGATGCTTTGAATGCTATATTATAATAAATAATAGGCCTCATGTATAAACTTTTCATTTACCATCAAGAACAATTTCATTCTGTGGGACATTTGCGAATAGTTTCCGAAGTTCTCTATGACGTGCATCTAGTGTATAATGTTCTAACTCTGGCCCATTGACTTCCATTTCCAACTTTGTAGGCCACACTAAATAGCTATCTGTTTGGCTCTCCGTGGGCTCTTCGTTTGATAAATTAGCCCAAGATACTCCCCAGGAGGATAGAATACTGCTATTGCTGGTATTATTGCTAGATTTTACAGGTATTGCTTCTTCATTTGCGCTTCGTCCCTTTTGAATCATAAGGGATGTCAGTAAGGATGCGGTAGTAGAATGGATGGGTATCAAATCATTATTTGAGGAAACTTTAGCCACGAACTGATCATCAGTTAATGTCATCAGGGCAGATGGGTATAGTAATGGCTGCATTGGCAGCATTTTTCCTTGTTCTTCTTCCTGTTCTTGATTCTGTTTTATCTGATATTCAAAGGCTTTTATCCATTCATACATATCCTCTTCTGTTTCAGTCTGCAGATAAAATGTGCTGTATGAACAATATATTTTTAGTACAAGATTAAAGAATTGATCTATCATTGATATATGTATATATACTTTTTAGGATGTGTTATTTCAAAACAAAATCGTCTATCGACATCTGTAACGACTTTATATGTGCATTCAGAAACAAGGACCCTGTCTCCCAGCATGATGAGTGCCTTTTGCTTATTGATAGTCATCGTACCGAACCATCCACGCTGTAAAAAGAACCACTTTCTGACCCATGTTGACCTGGCAATACGGTTGTTAAGGTATCCTTCTTTTCCTATGACTGTTTCATGCAAATTCTCAACAATGTCATCATACTGAGTTATAGAGTATCTCTTTAATGAACGATGAGGGGTGCATTGTTGAAGATAGATGTCTGATAACTCGACGCATCTCTCTTTGATATTGTTGATCTGATGCTCACATGTCGTCTTGTTCTATTTATAAATGTCAGTATATGCTACTATTTTAATTTATAATGTATATACCTCATCTAACCATTGTTTCCAGCTGGCAAGTTTAGGCTTTAATTCTCCAAATGTTCTTCTAGTCTCTTCAATCTCCTCGACATGTGCACTGACTGCGCTCGAAAAACTTTGGATAAGGATGTGTTCCAACTGTGATTTAAAGTAGATCAACTTAACAAAATGATCTGTGCTTTGTTTCACATAGGCCTTTCTTAATTCATGCATCTGAAACGCGTCTTCTCTCAATGCGCTTGGCTCCTTTTGTTTACTGAGAACAAAGTATCGACTCAGTTGTGTTTCGTACTTGTCTAATGTTTTCTCAAACTGTCTTTTGCTATCCTATTGAAAACAATATTAATACAATTGGAAGCTGTCAACTTGAATGCATACATGCCTTGTATGACTTGAGATCTTGTTTGTATAACTTTTGTAGAGGGTTTAACAAGGCCTCTTCTAGTTCAGTTATCTATTTTATACCGAGTTATTTCATATGATCTGGTATATTAAATATATACATAGATAGATTTATTCATGTATATATGTATATATATATATATATATATATACCAGCTGTGTTCTGTAATGAAGCGTCAGCTCGAGCGTGGTTGCAAACTTGTTGATAACGTTGTCAACCATATTAAAGTTAGATAGATCACTGTCTAATCCCGAGATGAACATTCGTTTGCATAAATTAGCAGCCTGAACATGGCATTCTATGGAAGCAAGTGAGATTATGCAAACATGTAAGTTAATCTCATTTACTTGTTACTGATTCAATATAAGTCTTTAAAGCACGTATAAACCCATCTAACCATTTCTCATATTGATCAATCTGATCTTCTAAATGAGTCATATTCGCTCTCCAAACTGGTGAGTCTAATACGACATCTTGTATTGTGAAAATATTTGTAGGCAAAGAGACAAGACAGGTCGACATTTTATAGCATAAAAAAAGAAAGAAAAAAGAGCTTGATTATTTATATGCAAAAAGGATAATCAATCTCATCGATGACATAATCAGAGTTCTTTGTTATGATTTATTGTAAAAGCTTCGGTAATTCCTCAGTGCGATAAAGATTTTCCAATTTATTGTAGCCACCAATGTGTTGTTCATTGATAAAGATGTTGGGAAAATCATGTTGACCAGTCTTTTCCTGGAGATATTGTTGAACATCTAAAGAAAATAAATACACAAGTTCGCCTAGACACAGTCATTTTTTACCTTTTGGAGGAAGCTCTACATCAAAAAACTGCACATTGAGTTGCGCCAACAAGTTTTTTGCTTTCTCACAATAGGCTATGATTTGTCATTTAGTCTTTTCTTGCGCGTTTTTATAGTAAACCCTACGGGAATCTGGCTGGGAAAAGATAACAACTTTATTGTTCTTGATAACTTCTTCAATTGTTGCTTGAGTCTGACTCATTTCTTCTTGTGAAATAGGAGGGTTCCATTCAAAAAGGAAAAGGAAAATCCTCTAAAATAAGACTTCAGTCTCTTTTTTAGATCCCACGACCTTACGTCATTTATTTTACTTGATTAGAAAGGTATTCATTGACTTATAAAGCCATACGCTCTTTACCAAAGAAGCCTTCCGTACGGTTAAACAATTTTATTTATTTATTTATTTATAAAATATAAAGGCCACAAGGGGCACGTGATATTTTTATTATATCGTTTTTGCCCTGGCCAGTTCAAGTTGTGAGGCAGTATCTAAAAATCCCTCTGGGCTCGAGGGCAAAAATGCTTTGATTGACAGATTCACGGAACAAGTGTTAAAAACACTGCTATGAAGAATTAAGTAACCATTTGATCAGTTTCTGCCCTGGGTCAAATGGTGATGGTGGCTCTTTTCCATGGTATAGGTGATCAAACTCATGTAAGATAACGCAGATTACGGGCCATCTGATAGCCCAAAACGATCTTGTTTGAAAAGAGCGTGGTTTTCGAGTGGGAAGCTTATTTAAAAGGAGGGACAGAGTATCAGTTATAGACTTCGATATTTGTAGACGGTGATGCATGTCGAGGCAATAGATGGCATGTTGTTTTGTAAGGAGCTGTGAGGTGTGTCGAAGGCAGCGAGTAGTGTTATAACTGGGTAACCAATCAAGACGCCACCGTATGCATCAGCTTCTTTCTAACCTTGTCATGGGTAACCAAAGGATTGGATCCAAAGAGATTGTTGGGCGACACAGTGACAGCAGATTTGAGCTGCGTGGAGTACGCCGCTGTTCTAAGTTGCCTTGCAGATATTGTAGACGTATCTTCTTTAATAATCGTTTGTCTAGTATATCAGTATATTGCGTACAACGTTTCCACAGTGGCGTTTTTGATATAGAATACCACTGTGAATGACTTGTGGAGAGGCGTATATGTGGAAGTAAGTAAGTCAGAAGCGCATCATCTGGCAATGACAGAGATCGTAAGAAGAATTGCGCTTGTAGTATATGAGTACGCTCTGTCGTAGTCGACAACTTCGTCAGTTGTAACATTACTTTTATAGAGGATCTGCAAGAACCACCAAATATTCTGCGTAG